ACACACACACACACACACACACAGTATGGAACAAAGAGGACATATGTCCGAATACTGTTGCAAAATTTGGAAGAGGTATCTAGGCACCCCCAGGGTGTTGGTTTAGAGTGGGATTGTTTTGTTAAATTAAGATGGATTCCTTTATTTTTCGTTTTTATTGTGTTCTGTCAGTCTGGTTTCCAATTTTCTTCCTGTTTCTCCAGTGTAGAATTCTGGGCAGTTATTGCATGTTATTTTGTAAATGACGTTGGTATTGTGTGATTCTAAAAAATTTTTTGTTTAGTAAAAATTTTCTTACGGAGTCCTGTTGCACTCAACATTTTATTTGTAATTTATCTGAATTTAGTCTCTTTATATTTCATGTGTTGAGTGTGTTTGAGTGAATAAGACCTAAACCAGCTGTGTGCAGTACCTTGAATCTCGTAATAATACAACTTATCTAAAAATTATATTATGATTGACCTATATATTCCTTTTGAGAAATCGGCAAAATAACCAAATATGATCTGATTGTTTACAATTAATCTAGATATTACATTTATTAATTTTCTAATAGTTAGGTTGAATAATTATATTTTAAATTGAGCTGTTCTAAAATTGATTTATTCAAGAAGGTATCAGTTAGTTCTTCTAATAAAACACTGAGCAGTATTGATCAATGATTTGTAAATAATTCATTCCCCTTATTTTCGTGTAGAGGTTTCATCTTTGTTAACCTTTAAGCAATCTGGAAACTGATGACTTCAAAATAGTAATAAACATATAATATCAGTGGATGTACAAGATTTCCTGTTACTTCCTTACATGAAAGATCTCATCAGTAAGCAAACTGTTTTTATGTCACTTCTAAACATGGTAGACAGTGTACAATCCCATGAAAAGATATTCTCTATATCACTTCACTGTTTAATTGCATGGAAATGAATATATTTCATACTTTTAAATCATCATTTTCTTTTTATCTTCATTAGTTTTTTTTTTTAAACTTATGAAATACAGCATTTGTTATTAACAAAGACACAGTTATTAACACAAGACAAACAAGGGCAAGTGTGTCTGTAGTGAATGTGTTGAACAGACAAGAAGGAGAAGGGAAATGAAACATTTGTGTGCTTTCTCTCTCACCAGTCCAATCCTCCCCCAGTCCCAATGTCAACAAACTATAAAGTCTAAAAGTAAAAAAGAAAACAGTTTTGCACTGTGAATTACAGCAAAATCTAAAATGAAAAACCAACTTATCAAATTAAAGTTAAATATAATCTGTCTCTCACCAAAAAGATAAAGCAAAGCTCTTGCTAAATCTTATTTAGAAGTTCTTCGTTGGAAGGGAGAATCCAGCCTTTGATACTAAAAATACAATGACAACAAAGCCAGGTTTGCACACAACAACATCTCACACACGGGACAGCTATGAGCCATTATCTGATTTACTGACATCCTAAAACTCTGGGACATTACAAACTACCACTCCTGCAAGAAAATGCAATTAATTACCAATTAGTAAATGAAGTTTGAAGGAGAGTGAGAATCAGAAAATGTTTACTTGGATAACTTTCTGTGTATAAATTGAACCAAAATGAAATTCAGAAGTTTAAAAAATGTACATATTAATTAAAGTGGCAGCAAACACATGTTACTGTACTGTACCACAAAGGCTCATGCACTTGTATTGTTACCGTAGATCACATATATATATATATATATATATATATGTTAATAATGGCTGGAGACGGCTTGAATGGGTAATGAAGAAAAACTTTAATATAAGTTGTTTTCTGGGGGGAAAAATTAAAACCAGACTGATGTAAATAAAAAGCAATTAATACAAACTTTCAATTAAAGATTCATTAAATATATTCTGACTTGTTCAACTGTATACAAACTCTTTTGCTTTATTTGATCTTACATTGCAAGTCATTTCTTACAACATTTCTTGATTATTCAGCTTTCACAACCATTTATATTCTGTTGAACAAGTCACTACTGCATGTACTGTATCATTAACAGTGGGAACAAGGTTTGGAATTAATTTTTAATGTACTTTCAGTTTATTAGTTAAAACTTCTTTATCTGATTAAAAATATGATGTTTTCAGTGTAGGGTATGATACTCTAAAATTTTTCGATTGTCTAAACATTAGCATAACTTGTGTGCATACTTCAATAAAACTTTGCTGGTTCATGCAAGTGGCATAGGATTAAATAAAATAATAATACATTGTGGCTTTAATCTAGAAATTGTGTCTATTAAAAACAGTTTATATGTTTTCTGTAATACTTTTATGCAAGAAACTTTTATATTTGTATAGGAGATGAAACTTTTAATGAAGTAGTTCGAGATTTCTCCCACATGGCATCACATAATCCTGAGAAGTTACGTCGACTGCCAAGTCTGGCTGAGTGAAGTCATTGGTCAAAGTGTGCGTGTGGTCATGATTTGTTCTTGTAACTCATCTTCAGTTATTTTTAGAGAAAAATCATTGTATTTGAAATCAAAGCTTTTTTGTTATTTTTTTTATAGATTGTAAAGTGATTTGATTTGTTTTCATTGGTTAAATGTTCAAACTTTAAGAGATTCATTGGTTAGTGTAATAAAACTATTACTTAAAACAAACTTATCTTAAGCTAGAATAAATTTTACATATATATCAAGTTTTCCAATTGTGAAATATGAAAAAAGTGATTAAAATAGTGATTTAAGAGTCCTAAAGTTAGTCCTTTTTTTTTTCCCCTTAATCATTCGAGGATATGAGACCTCTTGTAACATATTGTGAATCATTAAATGTACACAAGATCTCTCGTCTTACCTTATTATGTGCCTTATTATTCTTGCAGATCAACTAGCAGGATTCAGCTCCTAAATCATATAGTGCAAGAAGCAAATATGTGTTGAAAATAAATATTACAAGAAAACATTTAGTAATTTCATCCAAAGAGTCTCTCCTTGTCAGTTTGGCAAATGTATTGATATTTGGTACTAGACTTTGAATTGACATCTGCGAGCTGATAGAGATACATCAAGACCAGTACTGAGAGTTAGTATCTGCCATTTGACAGAAATTTGTTAATCATGACTGGGAATTTGAATTAATGCCTGCCAGCTGATATTTATTGAGTCTGGCTTTTCAAAATATATTGACATAGAACTCTGGACTATTTGTTACCAGTTGACATTGAATTACTGTAACAAAAGTTATGATCTTTAATATTAATACTCTGGGTTTTTCATGAATAACTGTTGAATATCTGAAGTTTATGAAATTTAAAACTGTTTTGGTAAAATTTTTGTTTCATTGTTCATGGTTAAAATAACCCAATAATCCCTTGAATAAGTGATGTATTTTATGTAATTTTGTACCTTAAACATTCCATATTATGTTTTTGAATTTTGTTAGATTTTTATGATTATTAACTGATATCAAGTGACCATGTTTGTGTAAGTTTTGATTATTAAGTCCTAAACAAACGTCTTTATTAAGAACAAACTTGTTATATCACTGAAAGCTAGTTGAATAGAACAATTATTATGACTAAAAGCTACTCATTATGTTTGGCTTTTTATTTTATTGCATATTTAAGTTTGAAGTTGAAATCACTTTCTAAAAAGGCCACTCTATATTCTGGTAAAGAAATAACCTTTCATAGTGTTTTTTGCTTTTGGATACATGTTTTCATTGAAATAATTCATAATATTATATTGTATCAAAGTTTGACAGAAGTAAATTGTTTATCAGCACTTTAACTAGAGAAGTAAGTTCATATTTGTTGAAACTGTTCTACCATTAAATAAGGAATGAAATACTAAATATTTTCATCTGAAATAATCAAGTGAATGTATTGCTGAATATTGCATCTGTAACAGAGTTAGGATTTTGCATGTTTATCATTAATTTAGGTGCCTGATGTTAGATGTGTAAACATTGAAGGCTTAGGAAAGTGTGATAAAAACAGTACTTAAAATTTGCTTTACTGTGCCAATAGTTGCAAAAATTAGTTAGAAAAAAAAGGTTTTTTGAAAGTATAAAATATATAATTATAGTAGTTTAACTTTAGACTTTTGTCATCATTCGTGTGTAAACAAATGCTTAAAAACAAAATACATGAGTCAGAAAAATCCAACTGTCTATTCCTCGAAAACATAATTTGAGGCACATAAGTTGGGAGAACGTAAACATTTTAAGATAGATTAATGTTTAATTTGTTGTCTATCTATGTATAAATTGTTACATATGTTTGATAGTATTTACAAGTAGTGAAATTTGAAGCTGGGCTTCAATTATCTTTTGGTATTTTTTGTCAGTATTCTTATATGATTGGTCTTGTTGGGGGGTATTTAACATACCCAAGAGATTCTTGTGTGATATTATATGATCAATCTGTTAGATTAAATCATTGGTTCTTAGATTTGTTTCTAAATTTCTATGCCACACTTTAAAATAGGTGGTGTTATATTTGATGGATGTTTTGCCAGCTGTTTTTTTTTTTCCTAGTCTTCTGGCATACTTTGCTGTAATTTCATCTGGAAACACACATTTTCAAGCTTTTAGTGCTTTATAAAAAGCTAGAATTTATACTATTTGTATATCTCAGAAGCCCAATAAAATCTTAGGTGCTCTGTTATTGGTGTTTGTGTTGTCAGGAATTGAACATTGAGCTTGCAACTTGACATGGAAAACAAGTAGATGAATATAATGTCTACTAACTCTCGGAGAATGTGATGAATACCTAATTTTATCAGTTTTATAGTTGATGTGGTTGTATATGAAAATCTATAACATTTTAATATTCAAGTAAAGTATTGTTGACATAAAAACTTGTCAACTAAAGAAATTAAGAACTTCAAATGCCTAGAAGTAGAAAAGTTTATGTATGACTATCAAGAACGTTTCACATTATGTTTTTCCAAGTTATGAAGGGTTGAGTTAGACCTTAATGGCTAGAGTGCCAGTCTGTGGTCACAGGATTGATTTACAATACTATTGAGCATACTCCACCTCTCAGCTATGGGTACATTATGGTTATTACCATTGTTTATTCAAAGAGATTGACAAATTCCATGTGGCGATGGGTGCTGCTGACTGGCTTTCTTCAATCTGGTCAGTACTAACTCATAATTAGAGACATCCAGGGGTGAAATTTTGCCTGGTACTCTGTATCAAAATGTATTTTAATATTGGTACTCAATACTGGGACTTAATTTACTATTGGTATTTAATACTGGGACTTGTTTTTTGCTGGTACTCAGTACCAGGGATTATTGCATTTGCTTTTTGTCCAACCTGCATGCCTTCAATTGTACTGTCAGAAAGCAGACCAATCATGACTCACAGAATCTAAGCAGGCTTTAAATATTCTCCAAGTGAATCAATAGATGACATTGGTAACACAATCAAGAGAAGTTATTTAGCAGCTTCAATGTCAGTCATTATTGAGCCAATCAGGTAGCTTCATCTGGTTGTCTGACTTTTGTAATTAGTTAATAGCAATAGATGAATCCAAATGACGTTTTTGTGCTGACACCCTCTAACCAGTGCCGCCCCTGATATTAGACCATATAATGTCTTTTTGTCATTCAACAGAATGGGAAGCAGAAAAAAAATTACATCTGAGGTATGTTTACAATTATGAAATTTTTAATTTGTTATCTGTTTCATGTATGGTTGTTTCTTTAAAAACCATCAAAACATTAGTTTGTATATATTTTTTTCTTGTAGTAAATAATAATATAAATTATACATATGAGCAAAGTCTTTGGTTGTTTGCGCATATGAATATTGGTATATTTTTGTTGAGCTTCTTCCAGCTATACCTGAACCCAAGAGGTCTCAGACCTAGCCATTTAGCCAGTGTTTTGCATTAAGTTATCAAAGGCCAGGTGAAACCTTAATGATTAATGTGCTGATTTGTAGATTGCAAGACCCAAGGTTTGAACCATGGTACCATTGACATACTTCACACTTTCACCTATGTGCACATTGTAAAAGCGATGGTCAGTCTCATTATTTATTGAAAGAGATAGAACATTTCTGACAGTGGTGCTGCTGACTGGCTGCCTTTAATCTATTCAGTAATTCAAAATTAGTGACACAGCTGTACATGAACATTGATGCATACTTGCTTGGCTATGTAACCTATGTGTTACATAAGGTGTTATTCAGGTTAAATTCCAACTTCCAGTTATCAAGAGTAGATTAGGAAATTACCAAAATATACCTATGACTACCAAAAACTATTATCTATTTACCTTTCCCATTCTTCAAGGAAATTTAAATGGCTGGAGGAACAAAGTAAAGGGGGGGTATAGAGTTATTACAGTAAACAACTGATATTCAGGTGCACTCGTATCCATCTGTAACACATCAGTTTCTGCAAATGTTATGCAGAAAACAACTTAGAAAGTAATGCAGAAAGTAATAATGGATGTGGAATCATGACAACAGTCTCTCACCATTCATTGTAGCTCATGTTAAGTGATGGAGTTTACGGTGTATATTAGCTGATCACTCAACACTAGACACATTGAGAGTTCATGCTAAACTTTATTAGTGTAAATATGTTAGAGAACCACATCCAGTCACAGATTTTGATGGCACGTGCTGGGGTATTCTCCTCGGGGGCAATACAGAATTCAGTCCTCCACCTATGTGGTTCATCATCGACAACAACAGGGAAAGATGGTATGTCTATACCAGTTCGTCGATATTTAACTCACTCTCCTTTTGTACTATAGGAACAAGGGGAATGATGTAGTTTGCTGTCCTGGAAAATAAAATTACAGATATTTCGTCAATGTATTGGCATAGTCACTTATAGAGAAATTAATTTAGAAAAATCAATGTTCAACTTCAAAATATATTTTTTACACACTTTCATACTCTATACTTAGACGAAACCATACTAACGAAACTGCGAGCGTTGTTCGATCAATAATTAACAAAAGTGTTGTATAAAATTTGCAAGAACAATACTTTTACTTGGTAGTGTATGTACCAGTAAATTGGAAATCTATTTCTGAGATCACGTGGTCAACAAATGGGGTGGCATAGTTTGTGCGATAGTACTCATCAACTGTGTGGATGCAGGATTGCAATGGTATCTCCTACTCAATCCTAGCTGGACAACCGGAGTTTTACTATCAAGAGCCTCTCCTCTTGATTTACTATTTAGGTCCCCTCTAGTTCATTTACTATCAGGGGCTCTTACCACAAAATGACGAGACCGTACTTCATTGTGGCTATTGCACTAGTATTATACATTTTCATGCGTACGAAAACGTTCACTATTATTTCTCTATTTTAAATTAATGTCTGGATTCTGCCACTCATTATATTGAGACCCTTCTGACGATAGTTAGAGGCTCTTGTGGTGATAAAGAGAGACCCTTCCATGCCTGTCATTAAAGAGGTCCTTGACTATCTTTAAAGATGCTGGCCCTGACTTTCAATATATTTTAGATTTATACGTCGAATTTTACTGTGGAGAGGGCTCTTTCATCACTATTATTATGTAGCTTCTACTAAGTCAGATTTTGCTGTTGACGGGATAATTTTTATTAAATAGAGTTGGTTAGTTTTTTTTCATCTATCCATAGACATTTTAATACACAAGGGGGACCTTTATTGGGAAAAAGTGGGTACCTCTGACGGCTCTGATGTGACCTGACTTCAAGAGGGTATGGCAAAGAAATAGGGCCAAGCAAGTATAAGCTTTAAAGAACAATATTTTGTATGTAGATTTTGCCTAATCTAGAAGATAAATGCAACATTTATTTACAGCTTACAAAGATAACTATCTGCAGAACATCTACATGAAAATTGTGAAGCATTTACCATAACATATAATGTTTATCAGTTATGGAATGGTGAAATACGAAAGTCCTCCTGCTGTCTCCAACTAATACATAGTGTACTGGATTTATTGACTTTGTCACAAAACCAAAACTTACGTGCAGGCGAATTAATATGAGTTACAAAACAAAGCTTTAACGTTTTCGGTATACGCATTAAATATTGTTGGTAATTACTTCCACTTCAATAACGAGAGTTTCACTCTAAAGAGACACAGACATCCACAATGGCATACGCTTTTCGTGGATATAAAAATATACACCTGGAAAAAAGTTAAGCAACCCCGTATTTTTTTCAAGTGATTCAGATTCGACGTTCTTGTGACTGATTATAAATTACCATTCAATCTAAACGTGTTTATCAAATGAAATTATGCATTATTGGGCACAAGAAAACAAGATTATCACCGTAAAATAAAAATTTGT